GACGTTTCTCGAATGCTCAGTTGCAGACAATGAAAGACTTCAAGCAAAAATGAGAAAATGGTTGAACAGGCGACATGCTAGACAGGCTGGTCTGACAAACCTACAAAAAAACGTTACTCGGCCTATCATCGCCGAGTAATGTTGCCTCCAAGTACCCACGTTGTTGTTGTTGTTGTTTCTTTTTGTAGGGTAGCATTTTGAACACGTAAAAAAAATGTTTTTCTTTGAAATGGACCACCGCTGACCCTACAAACTATACTGCCGAATGTGCCGATGCAGCGCGTTACCACCTTGTTGCTGCACTCAAGCGGAATGTCAGACGGTGAGCTCTCGGTGCTCAATCGGCTAAATGGCTCATCGACTGCAACTACGGTCCATCTTGAGGTCAAACATTCACGGACGCGTAGGCCTCCGTGCCTAGAGCGGCGAAATCCGCTCCGACACTTGGACATTACGTAGCCGAGCGACCAAACGGCGCTTTGAAATCGCCACCGCCGCTACCGCGCCGCCAGGATCTATCCAAAAAACAAAGTAAAGTTGAAGCTCTCCAGATGCCTAAGTAGAGGTGGGAACTGAGCGAGCTCCCTGACCAGTGACCACATTGTTTCATTGTGTCTCTGCCTTTGATATTGATGTATTTTTTATTGCGTATGCAATCAAAACGTTACGTAAGAATATCTGACAGTATGTATGAATACTCTTAGCAATATAAGAAGAAAAATACACATACAACTTTTCCCTTTAAGGCCAACTACTGACACGATCGGCCCTGAACCGCCTACATTAAACCGGTAATTGCCACATCAGATTATGGTTTCGTTCCGGTTCGGGTTCAATATGAAGCGTTCAATTTCGGTTTCGGGTTTGTACCGGTTCGGTTAAAAATAAGGGTTCTGTTCCAGTTTTCGGTTCGGGTGCGGGTTCGGTTCGACGTCTTGAATAAAATCGAATTCTCTCGGGTAACATTTTGCTCATGTAATTAGCTCCGCTGACTCTCCCATTAGAGAGAGAGATAGGGAGAGCTCTTCTCGTACCAGTGCACAACGCTCATCTCTTCCCTCGAAACTTCGTCAGCTCCTCCGAAGGGACTGTTAAAAACGGCCGGGCGCGCACGTGCCCACCGTAGGAATGTTAGTCTTGTCTTAAATGTTGAGCGTTGTTGTACACATTTAATTACTTGTTTCGCGTACACTTGTCGTATGAACGTAATTGACAGAACAGCTTGCGCTGTCACTGAGTGTTGAAATAACTGACAGAAGCGCAAATTAAACGCCTAAACAAAGTGCGCTACCAGGCTTTCAAAACGACAACAAAAAATTGAATGCGGAATGTTTATTCTACATCAGTTTTATGCCGATCCGGACTTGCAGCGGCAGATATTGTTGATTTTAGAACTAAAATGGATTTCCTCGTTAAGGAGTCATCGCGTCTGCCCACACTTTTTTTTAACGATTGGCAAATTTTTAAAAGTCTCGGGGTAACGTTTATGTTGGGCTGCGGCGGAAGTCTAAGCGGAGTTCTGAACAGCCAACTCGCCCGAGATTCCGACTTAAGACGCAAGCGGAGCAGCTTTGATCTCAAAGAAAACAATTGCGTGGCAGCTGTATCGATAGTTTATGGACTATGTTCCTCTTTGGTACAGTAAGTAGCCCGTGACGCTCGGTAGGAAACAAAAATGTGCTGCCGATATTGAAGCGTCCGGAGTGTACCATTGAATCATTTTTAAAGCTTGTTTTTGTATGTCAGTATGGCGTTTACGCGTGGACGTGCAGAAATATTTTATGCAAAATAGAGAGCAACACCTCCTTAAAACAAGTTAAAATATTAAAGAGAGCTGATTTGGGTTGACAACACACATTGTAACCATAGAGAATTTTGAGGAACAGCTACGAACAAGAAGCTCCAGACATATTTTTTCACAAACCAGGTTATTATATGGCCTGAAACCAAAACAAAGCACAGCCTAGAGGTCAAATATGCAAGGAAACTTCGAAACAGCTCCAGTTTCATCAAACGTCAATAGGCAAAACCTGGGCTTCCATACAATAATTTTGCGGGGTCAGGAAAAAAAGGGGTTGTCCCTGAAAAACGGGAAAAATGACGAGAATAAAATTAACGACACAACGCCCCTTCTCCCCCCCCCCCCCCCCCCCTTCTTCTGTGTGTTTACAGAGCCAAAAAAAAATATACCTCCGGCCACCCTAGCCGCGGCGGCAAAAATAACTTTCTTTTGGAAGTCTCAAAAAAAAAAAAAAGTTCAACTTAACATAGTAGTTTAGTTGCTGTAATAAATAAATTGTACAGTATATCATGTCTCGAGAATAGAACGAAATCCGAAACAGCAAGTCGCTTTTTGACGGTGGACGGCCGGTTTGTTGTAAGCCTGCTATCGGGATCAGGCGCGTGCCCTCCCTGTTTTTTACAAAGCGGGAGTCGCTGAAATTCCAGAATGTCTGGAGACGGCGCTGTAGTATAACACAATGGCGCCGCTTTGAAAACACTCACTGGAATGGTACACACCAGCGGTTTCAAACTCATGCGAGTGTGGGGACGGTAAGCCCACCCCCGAAAGGACGAAGGCCAGTAAAGGGTCGGGAAGAGGAGGGGAGGGCAAGAGTATGCTAAGTATTTAAGGAAAAAAAATCAAACAAACAACAGAGATGTTTAACGTTGCAAAGCAGCTGCTTTTCCCAGCGACACTCCAGAGAATTTATAGACGAGGAACCTTATGCTTTCAGCTTTTTGCAAGCTCAACGTGTTGCCTGCTTTAGCTCTTATTTGTATATACGACTACTTTGGGCACATGCCTAATGGTATAAAAAGATTTAAAATACACCACGCCACGGAATGCTGGCAGTTTTCAGTAGAATGAGAGGAAGTACACCTTTTTTGCCCCAAGACAGAGTTCTCTAGGCTCATAAAAAAACAAATATTTACGTGAGGCAGTTTTTGGTTTTTGACAATTTTGATAGAAGCCTTATAAGAAAATACTCTAATTTTAAAGGTAGTGTCTGACAGCTTGATGCCCAAGCTCATAGCTGTATATTTGGCCGTTGCTCCTGCCCTGCAAGAGTTCGCGCACCGAGGTACCTTTTGATCAAAGAGCTCGCAGCTGTATGCACTAGAAGTGGTAATGCCATTCCGTTTGATTTAGACGTGAAAGGGCTGATGAACAAACGATTAGACAAAGCAGTGCTTGATAAAAAAAGAAAAAAATACAAAAAAATAGAGAAGTGCAAAATGCGTGAACAGAGATGAGCTCCTTTTTAAACGTAACTGGATCGTAACTATAAAATTATCGTATCGCATCTGGCGCTCTAGGCATGGGAACGAGGGCTCACAGCAGCGGGATGCTTGTGGGCCGCATCCCAGGTGGTTCCGGGAGGTATGCGACCAGATATCGCGTGTTTGAGAACCGTAATCTATGCAGTAGTACGCTTTTTTTGCCGAGGTAGGCTAATAACTTTTTAATACAAACTCGGCGCCTGACCTCTCGTACGAAGCTAGGGCTCATAATTTGGCGACAAGAAGACATTCAGAGAACTTATTTTCTAGCACTGTATAGTATCAATGACTATTACACCGAGGTTATGTATCTATCATTCATTTCACTTCTTTTTTTATATATTCTTTGACGCTTCAGTAGTGTAATGTAAGGGCCTACTTTTATTGTATCGCAACAAGTTTTTGGGGTAGATCCCAAAATATGCAATGAACGAGCTGATTAAGGAAGAAAGTCTCAATCCAACAAACGAAGTAAGTGAGCAATTACTGAGTACAGTAATGGAGAAAAGTAGCTACCAATACTGGGGCACGAGCAATGCCGAGCCTGCAAAAAAATTATAGGGAAAATTGTACTTCTCCGGGGAGAATTACCACTCTTCCGTCTAGGCTACACAGATCGCTTGGACGGTGGACGCACCCTTGAATCGCATCTCTGCATAATGAAAGGGCGTCAGTAATCTCGTAGAAACGAGATCACGGAAATATGAGCATGGTTATCTGCAGTGCAGAGTGATTTCACGGCGTGTTTTTTGTTTCAATCAGCGAAGTTTGCCTGTTGCTGCAATATAATGATTGCACTGATAACGCGCTAAACGCGGTATTAGTGGATTATTAGAAAACAACGCCCCTTTTATACGAAACGATAATGGCTTCAATGAAATCATGAAGCAGTATTTTTCTATAAAGTATGCTGTTTCTACGCTTGCACGGTCAGTCCAAGCAGATCTACGAACAAGGTCATTTTTAAAGGAGCGGCATCATTATTTCAGTCGTTGTTGGGAAATTCGCCGAGCATACAAATTGTGTTCTTTTTAAATTACTTCTTTTCCGCTGTACCGAAACTGCCGCTTCACAAACACATAGCTTCTTGGCTTACGTAGGCATTAATCTGTAAAGTGTGTAAAAATCAAATGAAATTGTGCTGTATTGCATTGTATTTATTCAGAGAACGCACTTTCTCGCCCGCTATAAATTGCGCATTAAAAATATTAAAATCGGAAGGTATAAATATTTGAATATTTTCCTTCGCACATAAAGCGGTAATAAAAACCGAGGTCTCAAAAATCCCAGAGGTATTTGAAGTATTTGACGCACTCGTTATACAAATGTACGAGTTGTACAATACGCCTCTAATACTTACACAATATGTCTAACAAGATGTAAGGTCTCTCGCCTTTCTGATGCCCTAAAGAAGGTTCGTCGCCGTACGTTTACTTTCCGTCGCATCCTTTTGGCAAGGTCAAATTCAAGATCACTCAGCTCCAATTCAGCTCAATCAAACATCATATGCGCGACCGTGCCGGATAGGAAGATCCTTTCTTCACGAAGGCCACGACAGCAACCAAGCATTACAAAACAGATACATCGTCGCCACTACTACGGTGCCTGGAGCGCGTCTCGGATTGGCATTTTTATCTTCTTAATCCCCCAATGCATCGAATATAGTCCCTAAGTGGCAATAATTTACATCGCCAAAACAGGAGTGTCACGCTGTCAGATGGCGCGATCCTGGCGGTTGGTCGCAGAAGTGCCGGCAAAGAGTGCGGGTAAACGCCTCTGTGACTGTCATCCAGGCGTCCCAAACTTTGACAGCTGAAGCTTCGATGGACTGTGAAACTGGAGCACGACCTACAGCAGAATGCCCTGGCGTCTGTCGTATCCAGTGTCGTTGCCATACTACCGCCAGGATCGTGGCTGGCAGCACCGTGACACATCTATGACGTCATCAGGCTGAACTTGAGGGACAACAGTCGAGGGCTCCTTAAGCATACTAGTCAGAGACCCGCTTCAGGCAACGTACTACAACAGCACCTCCCATCAACGCCAGGGTTAGAACCGTCCAAGTCATGTCTCTGTCTGGTCGCCTTGCGATTGTAACTGGAGGTGGAAGCGGAATAGGACGAGCGGTTTGTTATGCTCTGGCGGACGAAGGTGCCACGGTGATAGTTGCTGACATCGATGGAGGTGCGGCGGGAAACACCGCAGTTGAACTCCCAGGTAGGGAATAACGCAGTATTTTCATAATAGGGTCTCTCATAGACATTCTAATCGTGTTGCTTGCGCGTACGAAGTCACGTCTAAACCCTGCGTAGCAGGGCAGTGTAAATTTGTAAGGTATGCTTTAGTGAGGCCTCGCATTGTCGGTCGACGTTTCACTGAACAACTTATCTAAGTTTGTTAGCAAAATGTAGAAGAAGCTTTTCAAAGGGAAAACATCTTCAAGATTGTCTCCGCATTGGTAACCACTTTCACGTTTTTGGACCAATGTAAGAGAAAGCGAAGGCTTGCTGAAAACACAACCTGATATCTACAACTATGAGATAAGCAGAAATTAAAATTAAATTTTTTTTGTCGGAAAGGTGTCTGTGATTAACGCCAACGTTGAACAAAATATTTTTTTGAAAACTTAGTGAAGTCAGCGTCATAAGTAGAATTGTAGCTTTTTCATTGAGATTATGGTAACAATATATTTACAAAAATATGTGTTAGCAGATCACACTTTCTTTCATAGATGATTTATTGATAGGCTTCATCAGATTTCAGAGTAAAGTGTAAAGAGATTTAAGTTCTCACCGTCAAAGGGTGAACCAGAATTTTGTTATGTATGCTTGATTGAGTTTAGTATGATAGATGAGAAATAAAAAAAAAAAAAAAAACATACAAAACCGATTTACAACGTATTTTTGAAGAGTCATAACTGTAAAACTTTAGCGCTGTACTTAGGTTACTTCAAGAATAAATACGATGCTGGTCGTCTAGTTACCAATATGTGACGTAAGCTCGGAACGACACTACATAAATTATAGAACACTATCAGAGACGGTGCCACCGCAAGCCGGGGGAGCATCGTTAAGCCTAGTTGCCAAGTCTGTCTTCTCTCAATATGTCTTTACTTTTTACAGGCGAAGGTCACCAGGCCCTTGAGGTGGACGTTAGAGAGATGACGTCTGTATTGGCACTTTTTGAGAACGTGTGCGACTCGTGCAGTACTCCTGTGAGTATTGTCGTCAACTCGGCCGGTGTAATCAAGGCTACTAAAGTGGTAGAAATGGAAGAGGACAGCTTTGACGACGAAGTGAGGACTAACCTCAAGGTACGTCTGCCTGTGCCATTGAAATTTCCCCTTTCTTGTCCTGTACCATCGTCGCTTATTTTGTTTATACCCTCTATATCCACGTTTATAGCTTTATATTGTCCTACTTTTCGGAGTACCATAAGGGTAAAAGGAAAGGAGGAAAGGAATAGGAATTGAATCACACACAAGTGGAGGGAACTCAGCAGACAGGAAGCGGCGGGACAGTCTACGGCCAAACACTTCTGTGAGAGAAACGTGCATACAGGAAATTGAAGTTGAAAGAAAACCGGATGTAAAATACACAATGCAACAAAATAACTCTGGGAATAACACCCAAAATACGAAACATGCTTTAAAAATGCCCTTACATTTAACTTCCGGCAGAACACTCGGAAATCCAGTCGCTGAAATTTACGGACGAATGAGAGGTACGAAAATATGCTTATACACATAAAATGATGTTTCTGATCTGTACTCCTCATGAAATAAATATATGAGAAATAAGACGGAGTGTCATCACACACTTTTTCTTTATGTATAAACACATATATTAGGGCTATCTTTCCCCGAGCTCTGTCCGTCGCCTTATGGTTTACAGTCCGGCTGATCTGCAGAAATTTAGAAAAACGTGCAATTCTTTCTCTTTTGCCAGGGATTTTCATGTGTCTTATTCTTCTGAATGTGTAAAGCTTTTTTTTTTTTCTTTTTGAGAAATGCACGAAAGAAGGGGAAATCTGTGATTTACAAGTACGCGCATTTTTGTCACATTGAAAGAGTCATAAAATATATAAATTCCAGGCAAGTAGCATACACTTTAAAGGTAACTTGAGGAGGTTTTGCAGACCACCTAAATATGGCGAGAACTCACTCTCTTGCCTCTAAGCATTTCAGAAATCGCGAAATCAAGACGATGGGCGACCAATTTCTCTATTAATAAATCAATCAACGATAGCAACACACCGAGGTCATCTCTGGCGATGGAAGGAGTATGTTCCAAAACCAGGGCCACTGTCATCCAATAGCAAGCGAAGGATCATCGCGCCTCCGACCGATGGAACCGCGGAGTGATATCTCGAATGCGGGTGGCTCGTTGCCCTTACAGCCCAGACTACGATTCAACCCAGAGAGTGCGAGCTCAAGGGCTGTCGACTATATACATCACACAAGCGAAAGAAAAAACAAACAAAAAAATCAAGCAAACACGCAATGCATTGTTTATGAGGCAATGTTTTCATTATTATATTCACTCTCTGCAAAGAATTAACATTTTTCGACTACTCCTATTTGCTTTTATCATCCACAAAACATACACATTTTATGATAACAGCGTTTGAAATCTCAACTAGATGTCGCGTTTTTCTAGGTGACGTCGTCCTGGCTCCGGAACAAAGCTCCTCTCATTGCGGGAGATGACCTCGGCGTGTTCAATCTCTGATTGCTTCTCTTAATGGGAAAATAGACAGCGCTTAGCTATGATTTATGGATTTCTAGGATGCTGAGAGCCCACAGAGTGAGTTATCGCCATATTTAGGCGATCTCAGAAACCTTCTCACGGAACCTTTAAATGACAAGAAGCGTGTGTTACTAATAAAAAAAAAAATATAGATGCGAGCAATTAGGCATAAGAGGGTTCTAAGATAGTTTTCTAAATTAAATCTTACGACATCTCACTAACTTTTTTTGAACCAGCCCCTTTTCCGTAAATGCTTAATAGTGCGTTATTTTAGCTTTTGTGACTTTGTGACGAGAAAACTTGGGTAAATAAATTTGCCTTAATAATCATAATGCACTGCCGTCATTATATATTAAAAAAAGCGAATGGTAGAATCATGTATTAAAAAAGCAGCTTGTGCCTAAGCTCATTATGATAGGCTAGAAACAAAAGAGCTCATCAGTTATTAAACAAGATGGTAGTACATTTAGATTTAAGTAATATTTATGTACGTAAGATGTTCATGCAAACTGAGGTATGTGCCAGTGCCTCAATGTGACTTTTTTATAAGGCAGAATATCCAACCCATGCAGTTTGGCGTCTGTATAAATGTAGCTCTCTTGCATTGTGTGTAAGAAGTATTTGAATACGAATATTGGCATTTCAATATTATTTGTATACCGTATCTATTATGATCATATGCCCACGCGTGATGTTGAGAACGCTTTTAAACACCACATTTGTAAGCCTTGTGTTTAGGGCTCTACATATTTGATATGATTGAGCTTTGTCCTGGCCTTGTTTCGTTTCTTGTCTTGCTGCTTTTCGTTACTTGAACTTAATCTGCATGTTTTATTTTCTTTCATCATTGTTATCTTAAAAACATGCTGCGCCCACGTGTAGTACAGTTCTGACAGCACGAGGAGAAAATACTTTTGTTTCTGACTTCCTAGACAACCATACCTGGAAAAGTCAAATCAAAGGATTCTTATCAAAGTCATTCCTGTTAACTTTATTTGTTCTGGAGTAGAGATGTAAATATTTGCCTATTAAGAATTAGTATACTTTATACATATACTAATATAAAAGCAGGGTTCCTTTTATATGTCCCACCTTGTTCATATAATACTCAAAAAAACTAGTAAAGCCATTGAAAAAAAAATTCCACGTAATATTTTGCAGTTCTTTCTTACATGTTTAAGCAAATGTTCCCTATAAAACCTGCAGCAAGCAATTTCACATATTTTTACTTTAGTATTGCTTTATATTTGTGGCTCATTGCTTGTCGGTCAGTCGGGTAAAGTTCCGTAACTGCAGCCACAAGCATAAAATATCGTTTAGACACTAGATGTTATACTCAACATCGGGTTCCCGATCAAAAGACAAGCGCTATCCTACAAAAAAAAAAAAAAAAAACGCAGAAACTTACGTGTTTTTATAAAACATTTCTTTCATAGCACAATAGAGAGAGTCATATGGGAAAAAGCGGTAAAAATTAAGTAGTTTTATCAGCGGACTTTACTCTGTTAAGTGATTCAAGATAGCCTGTAATACCTTATAGGTATTTTATGCATAGTAAGCAAAATATTGGCGGCTGCTGTTAGCCACATTTATTTAATTCTAATATTGCTAAGCAGAAAATTGTTAAATACAAATTAAAGAACACAATCTAGTTTATGTCCCATCATGGAGACAAAGTATTATTTACAACCACTGCCAAGTATATTTACCTATGTGTTCTTCGTTTAAAATATCATAAATTACGCCAAAAGCTCTTTGATATTGTGTTGTGGGATATGCCATATTTACTCAGGTAATAGCCGCACTATTTATGAATGCGTGCCTTGCGTCTACGTTCCCACAGAACACATATACAGCCGATCATTGCGTTGCGCATAAAGAACGAATAACCAGATCGACAACACGATTGTCCATACAAATGCAATCTTCACCGAAGGTATCTTCGCACGAAGACTTTATCGCTGTCTTGTAAACAGCTGGAACCATGCTGTCGGTTGCGGTGATTGGCAATTTGCGTGCTCCGCGGAAAAGCGAACCCTCAGGTTTTCTTCATAAACAATCTGGCTAGTACTCGAATAAATACGGTGAATGGTATATGTCCTGTATTTTTAATAAGATTTCTATCGTTCTGGAACAACAAGATTTCGCTGTTTCAGGGCACCTTCCTGGTGAACCAGGCTGCAGTCAAGGATATGCTCTCTAGCGGCGTACCAGAGGGCTGTATCGTGAACGTGTCAAGCATTGGCTTCAAGACAGGCTTTCCTTCTTATTCCGCTCACACTGCCTCCATGGCCGGAGTGGTGGCCTTCACCAAGTCGCTGGCCCAAGAACTCGTGGAAACGAACATTCGCGTGAACGCGCTCGTGGCTGGTCCCACGGACACGCCGATGATAGCCGATGTCCCCGATGATGTCAAAGAAAAAGTCGTAGCCTCGATTCCTCTTCGCAGGCTCGCGCGTCCTGAAGAGATCGCCGAAGTGGCGAAATTTTTGTGCTGCCCCGGTAGCTCATTTGTTACTGGCACCGCCGTGGAAGTGGCGGGAGGATACTGTGCTTGAAGGGTTGTTGTGTTTTTGACCATGGAGGCAGACTGCTCGCAGAGTGCAGAGTAAAGTGCTTGCTTTGTCTGGCCACAAAGGCAGACTGCTTAAAGGGGTACTCCGCCGATTTTTGAGCTACCTCAACTAACTATATTTTCTGACTCCCAGGCCTTTACCCGTTCTGGAATGCTATTTAATATCGTGAAATTCATAATAGTTATTGCGAAATCGGCAAATGAAAATGATGCAAAAAAAATATACCCGCCCTTTTCAGGGCCGTGACGTCAGTGGAAGTTCAGCTTGCCAGTCGGGCGAGCAGTCTAAAAAATAGAATATGCCAATTATTTGTTCCGTGCTGGAGCGCGGGGACTGGAGCGAGCTTCCAAGGCATTCATTTGACACCATGAAACTGCTTCAAATCAGTTGGGAACAAATTCTACAGTCCAAAGAGTGAACCCCTGCACTTCCAATGACGTCACTTTTTCATTGTTGCCAGTAGAGACTTTCAGCTTGAAAAACACGGTGAGGACCAAAATTATAAATTCAATAACTTCGTGAAAAAAAATTATTTTGACCTAATATTTGGGATACTATTTTGGCGATGTTGTTTGGCGAGTTTAGCAGAATTTCAAGCAAATCGGGGACCATGAAGAAATCGGCGGAGTACCCCTTTAAGGAGTACGAACCACGAAGTGTAGAGTTTGCCTGTTCCATACCATACAGGTTGACGTCTCCGAGAGTACGAAGTAAAGAGATTGCTTGTGTCTGGTAATAGCGGCAGACTGCCCGAAAAATGCGAAGGGAAGAGCTTGCTTGTGTTAGAATGTTGAGTCCAATTAAATAATCATTTCTAGTGCGATACCTTTTAACTGTTTATTTAAATTCAAATTAAAAAGGTTACAGGGATTTCATAAGAAAATAGATAAGAATGAGCCTTCCGCAAAGCGGTGCGTCTGGCTCGCCGTCTCGAAAGGAATGCTCTTCTCCGTAAGCGAGGGCGGTCGCCTCCGAAACGCCTGCTTGCAGGCCCGTGCGTGTGGCTCGGATATTAAAGTTTGCACTCTATGCACCACCCCCCCCCCCAAAAAAAACAAAAAAAAACAAACAAACTTAAGTCCTACCAATAAAATCATACTATTTTCCACCAAAAGAACAGATGCAACATAAATAAACGAGTCTTGGTCAGTCATGTATCAGAGCCGCTTCTAGCACATCCCTTTCCAACCTTCCTTTCCTACGCCCCGCCTCTTGCACACCGTTCAATGTAGATGAACATTCATAAGCTTTTCAATGCATTGGCAGGTGTGAACCATAACCATTGTTAAGTGAGGCAGCACTGATTAGCACGCCTCTTACCACAAACCAGCAACTTGACCTTTGGTCCGCTGACCATTGCAGATATTGGAGAACTTGCAAAGGGCCTTAAAGACGACAACCACACAGAATTTGGTTGCTACTCTTTTCAGGTTGTGCGAGATTTTATGTACATAAGGCATGACTTAAATTTTTTTATGATGTTTCCTGAGTACAGCGTTATGATATTTAACTTCTTAAAGGGACAGTGACACCCCACAGAAAATGCTTTTATTTTTTGCCAGGCAATACATTGAGGTGTCATTAGACTACCCTATTAATATTTTGCTACAGAGTCACATATATTTTTAATAAAGTAAAAAAATGCAACTGCTTGAAACCGAAACTGGACTGGGGAAGACGAAATATAGAGGAGGAGAAAGTTGCAAAAAATCACGTAGTTTTGCAACTTTTTTTTACATTCAACATATTTGCAGTTTTTTACAAGCAACAAGAAATGGGTATCATATTTTTTGTCTATGTGGCTTTGCAACATTTTTTTTTTTATTCAACATATTTGCACCTTTTACAAGCCACAAAAACTGGGTACCATAGTTTTTGTCTTTCTTTAGCATCGGGTGTGTGCCTTCGAGGACCCATAACTTTGATTATCTTTGGTGGTTGTGTATCAACCATAGAAATCGGCACGCGACCACGGAGAAGAGGACGAGTGCGACTCAAACCGTCCAGTTCTCAATCGGCGGTTTTCGGGCGGAAAGAAAACGAATTTCGGGCCGCAAATTGTGTAGCTGGGCTCTCACGTGCCATTTACAAATAAAAACCTTGGCAAACGTAAATACCCTGTCAGTGTCCCTTTAAGATATTCCAGTTTTCCCTCCACAACAAATGGTGGGAACCCTGACTGTTTCAGGCATAATACCTGAAGGTCGAATCTCTTATGAAGGATATGCAGGCAGGATTTTAGAAGTGTCGACCGTAGGCATAACGAAGCGATGCCCATCTTAATCAGTTTCGAGTGGGCTGAGTCATAAGGAAATAGGGCCTTCTTTTTCCGTGGCATGTACATCCAGCGCACAAGTTCAGCGAAGCTGACCGACAACTGGGTGTCTAAAATCTGAAAACTGCCCATCGGAAGCTCCAGGGGGACCATCAAATGGTTGGAGCAGCTGCTAAAACTTTTAAAATATACTGGGCTAGCGAGCCCAGGCGTTGCTCTGACTGAATACTAACGAGAACGATAAAATCATCACCATACCTTTGCAATTGGAATGTCCGCTAAGGCAACTGAAATCAAGTGGTCAAACTTTGTAAGAAATATTTCACACAGTACAGGACCTTATACAAATGCCGCGCTCCTAAACATACACTTTGTAATGAAAGCAAAGTAGCGCGGAAATCAAACAGCAATATAACACCTCTAGAAAAGCCTCAACTGATACCCTGCAGATTTTTTGAAAGGAAGTAGGGCTTGTTGTTTCAATCAGCTCATGTACTCCTACCAAAAGTTTGTTATGTGGTACTGAGTAAAAGTCCCCCTATGTTCACAAAGAAGGCACTGGTGGCTTTGGGAAGGCCTACTCCCAGCATTTCAACCAGGCAGTCCAAATACCTCCCCTTGTAGGGATTTTACGGAGTGCAGGTGGTAGGGCGTAGAAAAGGAAGGTTGGAAAGGGAGATGCTAGACGCGGCTTTGATACACGACTGTGACTAAGACTCGTGTATTAGCGTCACATTTTTTCCTTTAATGAAAAAAGAGCATGATTTTATCAAGAGGGATTAGGCTTTTTTCTGTTTTGGTTGCGTAGAGTACAGGAGGTTTCCTTATTGCGGTGCTTTTAATGCACATTTTGGGCCCTTCCTGTTACATCATGACGCTCTATTGTTTAGTGCACATACATGAATCACGACTACATTGTTTCTATTGCCGCCTTGAATCAGAAAGACAACTTCGTTGTTTTTATGCGTAGTGACGCTGTTTCGTCGTTATTCATCAAGATAGCTCTGGCATTGTGTCACGTGTGTGTGCACTAGATATGTTTGCTCGGCAGAATTTTTTTCAGTAAATCTTTTAGTTGCAAGTTAGCGCTCGTACTGCGTTCTGCTTCTTCTGTCTCCCGTCTTTCTTGTGCTACTCGTCAGCGATCCGAAAAAACATAATACCGCGCTCCTTTCACTCCTTGTGCACTATTTCGGGACTCTGTGAACGAGAGTGCGATTCTTTTACTCTGGAGCAGCGCACAGAATGTCGCTTTTTGCTGTCTTGTGGAAGGACCGCGAGCTCCTTGACTCCCGAAGCCGCTACTGAGCGCGTCCAATCATCATCTGCACTGGGGTTGTCCACCAAAAGTAGTATAGCTTCATTCCACTAGGGCAATAAACAACAACTAATCTACTAGTGCAACACAACCGCAGCCGTTCCACTAGTGCAACGAACAGCAACCAACGAAAACAAGCAAAAGAAGACACTGGATAGACTACCCGTTTGTTGGAGCTCACCAACCCACCTAGTGCACATGACTTAGAGCATACTGAATGCATATTTTTTTCTCTAGAGGGACCTAAGCTGGCAACAAAAGACTATGAAATGTACAAACAAGCAGTGTCGGATGGCACGGCTTTTGTGTTTAACGCCCTGGGCGAAATGCACACTGACAAGTGCAGTATCTGTAGAGGGAGTTGGTTTTCTCGAGTAAAGATTGTAAATCAACCGCTTCTTTATGTGTTGTTGACTTTTCACGTGACCCGTGTATTCACAAGGCCATTTTACTCTCACCCCAAGGTACAGTGCTCTGCAATATGAAAGACCCACTGGGAGCACGTGGCCGAGGTGGTGGCTGGCGGGGGCGCTGCGAGCGCTCTGGGCAATTCCATTCTGCTTCGAGGGGAGGACGCTCACTCGCGGCTCAGCACAGATTGATAAGCGCGCCCTTTAGCTGAGCCCCGAGTGAGCGTCCTCCCCTCGAAGCAAAATGGAACTGCCCGGAGCGCACGCAGCGCCCCCGCCAGCCACCGCCTCGGCCACGCGCTCCCAGTAGGTCTTTCATATTGCAGCGCACTGTACCTCCCCACCAGTGTTTGCAGACATACTAGTATGAAAGATGAAGAGGATAAACCATAGCAATTGAGATCATTGTCACTTACAGGACTGGTGGTGGGGGAGTTGAGAGGCTAGTCATTTTGTGTGGCTTGTGACATAACTGGAGTCTGAAGTATGTACAAATGGAAGCTGACTGGAGCCATTGTCAGCGCAATAAGTAATTGATCTCACGTTTCATTGTTTTAATATGTAACAAACAAAAAAAGAGTGAATTGAGTATTGATAGTCTCATCGTGGTCCTCAGTACAAGTTAAGGGAAAATAAACGTATCGTCATATATGAGCCGGCCACAGTTCTGAGTGCGAAAATATTGTGCCCAAACCTCGCTGTCAGCACTCTTTGGTGAGACTGCCGCTCTGCGATTGCGACAATATAAGTCAAATGGCCCTATTTTGTGCCTGTCAGGCAATTGACGTCCTTTTATGTTGCCCCTCTTTCACTCTTGCGCCAGCACGGCGCTACGAGGTTTTGAAAGGAATACACATACGACAAACAAAGACTTGCTCGTGGTCAACCGTTGGTCGGAGTTTGTGGTGATACATCAAGGTCTCAGGTGTCCAGGCGAAAAATCACTGTTGGGCGCTCTAGTAGTACGACACAATTAGAAACGACCGAGGACATACTTACTTTTGGTTTGCAGCTATTTAACATGTATAATTCCTGAGCAGAACGTAAGACTATCAAGGTGAATGAACAGTGAATGA